ACCTTCCTCTTTATCTTCCACCACATTCTAAACAGAAGTTTAACAGAACTTCTGTTACTACTTCTATTTTAACAGAAGTGTAAGTTTGATATGAAAAACTGAATTAGTTACATTTGGGAGTGTTATTTAATGCTTGAAGATGTCTTAAAGAACAACTTTGATGTCTTAGAGAACAACTTTGGTGAGCGAAGATGTCTTAGAAAACTTCTCTGATGAACGAAGGTGAGTTAAAGAATAACATTGATGACTGAAAATAACTTTGCATGTCTCTGAGAATAACTTTTGATGTCTTAGAGAACAACGTTTGATGTCTTAGAGAATAACGTTGATGAACGAAGACGTCTTCGAAAGCTTCTCTGATGAACGAAGGTGACTTAGAGAATAACTTTGATGACTGAGATTAACTTTTGATGGCTCTGAGAATAACTTTTGATGGCTTCGAGAATAACTTTTGCTGACTCTGAGAATAACATTTGAGGACATGAGTAGTATTTTGACGTCTTTAAGAATAACTTTTGAGGACATGAGTAGTATATTTGATGTCTTTGAGTGTGTTATTAATGTCTTTGGGTGTGTCCTTGATGTCTCGAAGAGTAACTTTGGTGTCTCTGAGTGTGTCTTTGGGATTTTTGAGTCTGTTATTGATGTCTTTGGATGTGTCTTTGATGTCTTTGAGTGTGTTATTAATGACTTTGAGTGTATTATTGATGTTTTTGAGTGTGTTATTGAGTGTGTCATTGATGTCTTTGAGTGTGTCCTTAATGTCTTGAAGAGTGTCTTTGACTATTTTTTTTACTCCATGAAGAATACTGTTAATTACGAAAGTGCTGAAAGAAGTTTTTTTCTTACTTTTAGTTGAGAGAAAGAATAATTTTAGTTAAGAAAATACAAGAAAATATGATGCAAGTGACTATTTTTAGTTGATTGACGAATATTTTAGTTAAAAAATGATGAACGTGGCTACTTTAAGTTGATTGACATAATTTTAGTCAAGAAACAAGAAAAAGAATGCCTGGGTACATTTGTACTGAATAAAGCGTACTTTTTATTAAAGAACAGTGTCGGTAAGAAATATTAAGTTGATAAAGAGAATTACATTGACGTAGTTTTGCAAATAAAACTGGGTGACTGACTAAATTTGTTGGGAGAAGTGTAATGCTGTTGATAATATTTGACAAAAGAACCAGTTACTAAACGGAAGAAACAATTGGTTTAAAAGAAACAAAGAACATGAAAAGGGAAGAATATGTAAGGGAATGAATACAGTGAGCATATGGGGAACATGACAAAGAACACAGAGAACATGTTAGAGAATGCAATGAACACAGTGAACTTGTGGGGAATATAAACTTGCAGGGAACATGAAAACATGACAAAGAACAGAGAATAAGAAGAATAAACTATGAACCTGTGAATAATATGCTAAGAAAATTGAGAACATGACAAAGATCACAAAAAACATTAGAGAGAAGGTCATGAACACAGAGAACATGCAGGGAATATGAACTTGCAGAGAACAGGAATATGTCAAAGAACATGGAGAACATGGAGAAACAGGTGAAAAATATGATTTGAACACGCAGAAAACATGAATAGTGTGTATAAAAGTTGTACAGAGAACATACGATGAACATTTGCAGAACATGGAGTGAACATGAATAATGAGTATACAAGATCTAATTCTTTAAATTCTGAGGAAGGGAGGTTTGGATGAAGTTGGGAATAGGAAAGATGTATGGGGAGTAGGGGGGTAAGGGAGGGGGGAAGATAAGGGGTGATGGAGATAAGAGAGAGGATGGGGGTGGGGGATTGGAGGAGAGGGGGAGGGTGTGGAAGGAGTAAGGTGTGGAGGGGGAGATATGGGCATAAGGGGGAGAGGAAGCTAGGGTAAGAGAGAGATAAGTGAGCGAATGGGCTCGGGGGATAAGGGGTTTAGGAGGATGGGGGAAGATAAGGAGGAAGATGTAAGGTGTGACATGACCATGTGATATTTATTACCGAGGTTATCTTGAGATGATTTCGGAGCTTTAGTGTCCCCGCGGCCCGGTCCTCGACCAGGCCTCCACCCCCAGGAAGCAGCCCGTGACAGCTGACTAACTCCCAGGTACCTATTTTACTGCTAGATAACAGGAGCATAGGGTGAAAGAAACTCTGCCCATTGTTTCTCGCCGGCGCCCGGGATCGAACCCGGGAAAACAGGATCACAAGTCCAGTGTGCTGTCCGGTCGGCCGACCGGCTCCCTTTAGTGCGATAAATAAATAGTCGTGCGATTGACTATTTACGTAGCTGAGTAAACAAAGGGTATTGAGGGTAAGGTGCAATATGACTGGTGATTTTTATTACGTGTGAATGATTATTTACATATCTGAGTAAACAAAGGGTATTGAAGGAGAGGATATGTTTAATTTTGATATAGGTGATAGACTGGAGAGCTTATTGATCTAAAATAATTAAGATTGATGAACTAAGGCAGAGGACACAAGCTGAAAATTGGATAATGTTTGTAATTTATTTTTGCTACATTATAAATGTAACGGGATTAAATTTCAGGGAACTGGGGCTGATAGTAATGAATTTACAGGAGTAATCTAAGGCGGAGAACGGGAGCTAGAGTTCGGTTTTGCGTTTTCTTTACTTACAATGTTTGAAGTATGACAATTTTAAATTTCAGGGGGATTGGTTAGATACTAAAGAAGATACGCGAGGGAACTAAAGTTGGGGGACAGGAGCTGGTAATTGCTTACTGATTGGATCTATTTTACTATTTCTGAAATACAGTGGTTTTAATTTCCAGGAAAATTAGACTGTTAGTAAAAAAGTTACCGGGGTAAAGTAGGCGGGGGACAGAAGCTAGAACTTGCTTACTGACTTCATTTGATTTGCTATGTCTGAAATATGACTGTTTAAAATTTAAGGGCAATTGATAGGTTAATATTGAAACTACACTTATAAACGCAATCTCTGACAAAGGTTGGTCTTTTACTGGCCTCTCTCACATTTTGGTTATAAACTGGACTTTGATTAATTTCAGTCTTCAACTGGACTCTGTCAAATTTTGGGCTTCAACTGGTCTCTGACAACTTTTAGTCTCAAACTGGACTCTGTCAAATTTTTGGGCTTTTACTGGTCTCGGTCATATTTTTGGTCTTTTAATGGTCTCTGAAATTATTTCCGTCTTTTAATGATCTTTGTTATATTTCGGTCTTCAACTGGTCGCTGACTAATTTCAGGCATAAACTGAACTCTGAATAATTGTTGGTCTTTTACTGGTGAAGCAGCCATAAATGGATATAAAACTTACTGTTAAAATGTCTATTTTCCTTAACAAAACTTCTATGACAATATTCTCTGAAAATGGTGTTTTTACAAATTTTTAGTCTTAAACTCTTAAATAAACTTGTATGATTATATGAACTATGAAATATTTTCCTAAACCGAACTCTGAAAAATTTTGAATTTCTCCCTTAAAAAAAACTTTAAGAACGTATGAGTGATTTTTGGTCTGAATTTTCCCATTTAGAAACTTTTAACTCCAAATTAGTAAATGGAAAAATTTACCTTGAAACCCCAAAGCGTAAACACGACTTTACCAAATAGCAAAACATTGTGTTTACGCTGACTATTTTCCGGAGCCAAAAAAAGTCTCCATACGTTGTCATCAAATTACTGGCATTACAGTGCTGACCTCACAGTGACTACTGGTAGACGAAGGGGGTATTACAGTGCTGACCTCACAGTGACTACTGGTAGATGAGGGGGTATTACAGTGCTTACCTCACAGTGACTACTGGTAGACGAGGGAGTATTACAGTGCTGACCTCACAGTGACTACTGGTAGACGAGGGGGTATTACAGTGCTGACCTCACAGTAACTACTGGTAGACGAGGGGGTATTACAGTGCTGACCTCACAGTAACTACTGGTAGACGAAGGGGGGTATTACAGTGCTGACCTCACAGTAACTGCTGGTAGACGAGGGGGTATTACAGTGCTGACCTCACAGTGACTACTGGTAGATGAGGGGGGTATTACAGTGCTGACCTCACAGTAACTACTGGTAGACGAAGGGGGTATTACAGTGCTGACCTCACAGTAACTACTGGTAGACGAGGGGGTATTACAGTGCTGACCTCACAGTAACTACTGGTAGACGAAGGGGGTATTACAGTGCTGACCTCACAGTGACTACTGGTAGATGAGGGGGTATTACAGTGCTGACCTCACAGTAACTACTGGTAGACGAGGGGGTATTACAGTACTGACCTCACAGTAACTACTGGTAGACGAGGGGGTATTACAGTGCTGACCTCACAGTAACTACTGGTAGACGAAGGGGGTATTACAGTGCTGACCTCACAGTAACTACTGGTAGACGAGGGGGTATTACAGTGCTGACCTCACAGTGACTACTGGTAGACGAGGGGGTATTACAGTGCTGACCTCACAGTAACTACTGGTAGACGAGGGGGGTATTACAGTGCTGACCTCACAGTGACTACTGGTAGACGAGGGGGGTATTACAGTGCTCACCTCACAGTAACTACTGGGCAGGAGCTCCAACTCTGCATACCCCGCTTTCCATTCTTGTTGGACCCGTTGCTTTTTATCATAATTATTCAAACGTTCAAAATCTCTGTCGATTCTTCCATTTGAAACAGAAGGTGGAGGTGGCTTTCACAACTTCTTTCCTCAGTACATTCCAGCTATCGACCACCCTTACTGTGTACAAGTAATGTTCAACTTGTATATTCCACTCAGTATCTTTTAAGTTTCGATCATGTGCCTTCTCTTATTTTTCTTTCAGAATTGTTTAGTGTCCTTAACCTATTCTTTACAAAGTGCAGCACCTTCCAGGAAGGTGCTGCACAGTATTGGTCATACAAAGTCTGTGTAGATTGTAGTACCTGTGTAGATTGTGGTACCTGTGTAGATTGTGGTACCTGTGTAGATTGTAGTACCTGTGTAGATTGTGGTGATCACGCTGCCATCCCCACCCAAGATGGTGATCACGCTGCCATCCCCACCCAAGATGGTGATCTCGCTGCCATCCTCACCCAAGATGGTGGTCACGCTGCCATCCCCACCCAAGATGGTGGTCACGCTGCCATCCCCACCCAAGATGGTGGTCACGCTGCCATCCCCACCCAAGATGGTGGTCACGCTGCCATCCCCACCCAAGATGGTGATCTCGCTGCCATCCCCACCCAAGATGGTGATCACGCTGCCATCCCCACCCAAGATGGTGATCACGCTGCCATCCCCACCCAAGATGGTGATCTCGCTGCCATCCCCACCCAAGATGGTGATCTCGCTGCCATCCCCACCCAAGATGGTGATCACGCTGCCATCCCCACCCAAGATGGTGATCACGCTGCCATCCCCACCCATGATGGTGGTCACGCTGCCATCCCCACCCAAGATGGTGATCACGCTGCCATCCCCACCCAAGATGGTGGTCACGCTGCCATCCCCACCCAAGATGGTGGTCACGCTGCCATCCCCACCCAAGATGGTGATCACGCTGCCATCACCACCCAAGATGGTGATCTCGCTGCCATCCTCACCCAAGATGGTGATCTCGCTGCCATCCCCCACAGCCCCAGGAAACACCACCAATATACCATCCATGTTTAAGCAATGGCCGCCACTGTAGGCCGTCCTCCTAATAGAACGTCGCATTTGGACCCATTCTTTACCTACGGTCAAAATTCGTCGTACTAAAAAATAACACCGGCTCCCAAAATGTACATACTATCCCGTTTTCTGTTTTGGGTCCTCTGGTAGGTTAGGATAAGGACACTTTCTACGACAGTTAAATTTAATTTTAAATTTTGCCCCGAGGAGCGAGTTTATTGGGCAGCGCCACTCATCCTGTGAGTGGACATACCGCCATAGCAGCATGTACAACACTCTCTAATAGGAAGAAAACCAGCTGGGTTGTTCATCCTGTCACTTGTACCCAGACACAGCTGGGACTTGCTTAACTGTCTCAAGTGAACAGCTCCTCAAACCACAAGATTAATATCTGTCAACCGTTAAAATCTTACGTTATATTGCAGGTGCAAAATGGTGGAATCTTTTAAGAACAGTATTAGTATTTGACAAATAGTGTTTTCCTAACTCAAACAATGTGGAGTTTATTATTCTACACGTATTTCTAATGCCTCTCAGGTGTTCTCATTCACGTAGATAGTGACGATGTCTGTCACTCTCATCACAGATTCTACAACTTCGCTGATCAACTGTTGTTTCTATTCCGAATATCCATGGATATTTGTATCCATGGATCCGTCTAGACGGATTCTCGCTATTACTTATTCTCTCCCGCGTCCTCCTCTTCGTCCATAATGATTGAGATTGCCAGCTGCAACCATGTTGTACCATCGTACAGATTCACTGGTTTGTGCTTCTATCCTCTTTTCCTCAGTTACCTTGTCACGGTGATGTTGCCTGATAATACCTCTAATTTGTAGAAGAGTCTTGGGTATGAAGTATTCAATATGGTCTCCTTCAGCGCCTTCAGCAGCCAGCACATCTGCTCATTCATTCCCACATATTTCAACATGGGAGAGGATCCAGAGAAACTTGATGACTCTTCCCTGATTGGTAAGTACTCTCACAGCTCTCTTCATTTCAGCGACTATTGCAAGATTTTCTGCCCGATTTTTACTTAGGCTTTGCAGTGCTGCTTTTGAATCAATACAAATCACTGCACCATTAGTGTTCCGTTCAGGAAACCTTAACGCCATAACAATGACAGCTAGCTCCGCTTGCGTTGAAGTGGCATACTTCTCAATAAGCGTTTTCCTTCATTTCTGCGTTGGAAAGCATTATCCTTAATTACAGCGTATGCTGCACCAGCCCTGCCATTGACAGAATTAGATGACCCGTCAGTGTAGATTTGATCTAGTTCATCTCCGGCTTCTTTATAAATTTCCTGGAGATACTTGTGCCTCATTTCTTGTGGTATATTGAATTTTTTCGTTGCCATTTCATTGATGATAATCCTGCATGAGTCATCCTCCCAGGGAGGTAACTCTCTACAGGCAGGAGCTCACGGGCTTGCTCAAGCAGGTGAAGTTCTTCGAGGTAGCAGACTGCTCTGTGATGCCATTTTTTGCTTCTCCTGTTTCCCCCTGAAAGTACCACAGCTCTCAGTTTTTTTCTTAGCAATATCATTGTAATAGGGATCTCTGGCTATCCTAATTGCAAGCTCCAAGAATGACTGTCATGGCTTCATTTTGAATGCTTTCAAGCCTTTTCATATCACTTTGGGAGTAGGTGCACAGAACTGGTGCGGCATAGTCTATGACGGAGCGCACATAAGCTGTGTACATCATTTTAAGCACTGCAATAGAGGCTCCATGTCCATTCCAGGTCATAGCTTTCAGTGCCCTGAGACGACTTTTGCATGTTCCTATGAGTTGATTGAGCTCTTCTTTCTTTCCCTTGTTAGAGCCGACAGTGACGCCAAGGTACCGATAGTGGTCAACCCATTCAAGTGTTACATCATTAATTTGTAGTTCTTCGTTCTCTCCCCGCTTGTGATGAGAGTATGCTTTTGTCTTGTTTGTGGAGAGAGTGAAACCGAGCTCAATACATTTCCTTCCGAGGAATTCAATGGACTGTTTAATTTTTCCCAAGGTGGGGGTTTGTATTAGAACATCATCTTCATATCCCACTTGTTGTGTTCCTTCCGAGAAATCAATATTTGCAATGGCGTTCATAAGTACATTGAATAGTGTGGGGTTTAAGACTCCTCCTTAGGGGTACTGAGTTCCATATTCATTGTTCTTGAGACTTTCATTGAACCAGATCTTGGCTTTCCTCCCTGTGAGGTAGTCTTCAACCCATTTCATGAGTTTGCTCTTGACACCCATGCATGCAAGCTCGTCCAGGATCGCAATCCCCTGTACTATGTCGAAAGCTCCTCTGATGTCAACAAATACAGAGTACTTAGCTGTGTCATTAGCCAGGTAATTAACTATACAATTTGCTGTGCTCCGTCCTCTAACAAATCCATTGACGCCCTCCCCTAACCTGCCTATGTTGTGCAACAGTCGGTTTAGGATGATCCTTTCAAGCATCTTGCATGTGCATGACACGAGGCTGATAGGTCTGTAATTACCAGGGTCATTGTGCTTCGGTATTGGGAACAATTATTGCGTGTTTCCATTGTGTGGGCAACACCCCACTTAGGAATGACTTGTTAAACAGATGGAGTAGTGCGTTCCCAGACACTTCACAGAGTGCACTGAGTGTCGTAGGTGACGCCATCTTCACCAGGTGCAGTACTTTTACCCTTTTTCATAGCGCCCCTTACTTCCATGGTGGTGATCGATTCCCCATATTCGTCATCACTAGATTGAGTTCTTGTTATCCTAATCCTTCTGTCATTATGTCGGAGGAGCTGTTCCCTGCTTACTTCTGCAGGGAGGGAGGAGGAGGATGCTGCATCACTCCACTTGTGAATTAGTTCCTCAGCCTTACCCTGGGGGTCTTCGTGAGCCCCAGGCCGGGTTCTGCCCCCCCCCCCCCCTTAGCTATCTAAATTTTTGCCCACACTTGTATTGCAGATGTTTCTCTTCCAATGGAGCTAGTGAATTCAAGCCATTGTGTTTCCCACTCTCTAATCTTCTCTTCCCTGGCTACTTGACAGTTTTAAACAGCTCTTGGTTGCTTTCAGTGGAATGCCTCCGGTACACTCTACTCATGTTCCTAACATTTGCATTAAGCATCTTTATGTAATCGTTCTCATACCATTTTATTTTCTCTTCTTTTGAGGGTTACTGCTCCCAGTCGTACGGCGCAGAACTCTAAGACAGTGCTCAATTTGGTGATTAAGGTCATCAACAAATGTATCAATGTCTTCTGGGATTTGGTATTCCGTGAACCAGTCACTCATCCTGTTTATGAAGTGCGGCCTCATATCTGGTCCGAGTGATAACCTTTTTCTTTTATTCGTCTCTTTCCTTCTCTTGCTCATGTCGTCGGTGGTAATCAGTGCCCAGTGGTCACTACATAAACTGTGCACAATGTGTGTACTGGCATCCGTGTCCTGTGCATTCAGCAGGAGAGCATAGTCTAATCTTCCTCCTCTGAGGTGAGTTGGCTGTTCATCACCCAGGACTCTAAGGTTTTCACTTCCCCTGACAAAGAGTGACAGTTTCCGTCCATTGACAATGGGCTGATGACAGTTATTATCAAAGTGTGGGTGTCTGGCATTAAGGTCACCGACAAGCAGGGTAGGTTCTTCTTTAATAAATTTAGGTAGTGTGTCAAGGTCAAGTTTACTCTGTGGCACATATAGGTTGAATATATGTAGGGAATTATTGTTTAAGTGAAGGGTTACTCCCAGTGATTCACACTCATCCCTCATGTGGTCATCAATAATCTGTGCGGGAATGTTGTTACTTACAAAGGTAATGAGGCCCCGTTTTCTTTCCCTAGCTGGAATGGAGAACTTCTGATAACCGCTGAGTCTTGGGTTGAAGTCATCACCCACCTGTGTTTCTTGTAGCAGTATGACGTCAGTTTGGTGTTCACGGACGTACTGTATGATGTCATTAATTGTATTGCGAACTCCATTGCAATTCTATTGTAGTATAGTGAGATGTTCTTCACTGTTAGTATCCATTTTGAAGTTGTTTGCTAACAGATGCACTTTGAGCATTATTATGAGGTTAACTTTTGTTATTGTGTATTCTGTGGTGACTGGTGTGTGCACTGGTGTTACTGTGTGCACCGTTGTTAGTGTGCTCTGGTGTTACTGTGTGCACTGGTGTTACTGTGTGCACTGGTGTTACTGTGTGCACCGTTGTTAGTGTGCTCTGGTGTTACTGTGTGCACTAGTGTTACTGTGTGCTCTGGTGTTACTGGGTATACTGGTGTTACTGTGTGCACTAGTGTTACTGTGTGCTCTGGTGTTACTGGGTATACTGGTGTTACTGTGTGCACTAGTGTTACTGTGTGCTCTGGTGTTACTGGGTATACTGGTGTTACTGTGTGCACCGTTGTTAGTGTGCTCTGGTGTTACTGTGTGCACTAGTGTTACTGTGTGCTCTGGTGTTACTGGGTATACTGGTGTTACTGTGTGCACTAGTGTTACTGTGTGCTCTGGTGTTACTGTGTATACTGGTGTTACTGTGTGCACCGTTGTTAGTGTGCTCTGGTGTTACTGTGTGCACTAGTGTTACTGTGTGCTCTGGTGTTACTGGGTATACTGGTGTTACTGTGTGCACTAGTGTTACTGTGTGCTCTGGTGTTACTGGGTATACTGGTGTTACTGTGTGCACCGTTGTTAGTGTGCTCTGGTGTTACTGTGTGCACTAGTGTTACTGTGTGCTCTGGTGTTACTGGGTATACTGGTGTTACTGTGTGCACTAGTGTTACTGTGTGCTCTGGTGTTACTGTGTATACTGGTGTTACTGTGTGCACCGTTGTTAGTGTGCTCTGGTGTTACTGTGTGCACTAGTGTTACTGTGTGCTCTGGTGTTACTGGGTATACTGGTGTTACTGTGTGCACTAGTGTTACTGTGTGCTCTGGTGTTACTGTGTATACTGGTGTTACTGTGTGCACTAGTGTTACTGTGTGCTCTGGTGTTACTGGGTATACTGGTGTTACTGTGTGCACTGGTGTTACTGTGTGCTCTG